AAATGTAGAAGTTGGGTAGGAACGTCCCTACCCTCAAAACTTTCCTTACGCAACCAATCTCTATAGTTATATACATGTCGCCGATTAGCATGGTCGTGTGGATTTTTTTTCTGGACGGCGGCCAAAATATTTGCTGGTGTCACATGCGCAGCAGTCATTTCACGAATAATGTTTTTGGATGACACGCTTATGCCGCTCGACTGTCGATGGCCCTCAGGATACACGGCAAATGAATGATTATGGTATCCCTTCGTTTCGTCTTGACTCGTTTGGATCATCCAGTATGTCGATCTGGCAACACGCTTTACTTGTATCTCAAAAGGGCACTGGCACGCTTTCGTTTTTGAACGTCTCGAAACAGCTTTATTCATATCTACGTTCTTCCCTCTATAACGTTCGCCTCGATCGCACTTCAAGATCTTCAGTCTTCCGGGTTTTTTGTGTTTCGAAATAGTCAAAAAGAAACCATTCAGAATTGCCGTATTTTTTGCATCCTTAATAGCCTCCTCATCACTAATAAACAACGTAGTTGTATCGAAAGCGGAACATTAATCAATACCGTCTCCTCCAAAATCTTCTAAAGACACCTGCAATGTAACACATATTTAATAATGTTAAAGCATTTAAAAATAATAAAAAAATAAAAAAAAAATAAAAAAAAAAATAAAAAAATGCTGTCTGGCCGGTCGGACCGGCCGAACCGGGTCTAACCGGTCGTCGCGGCCGGACAACATGTGGTCCGTACGACCGGTCGATTAGTACAACGACCGGTTCGTACGGCCACAATTTTCGCACGCGACCGGGGCTGTCCGGTCGAACCGGCCGGACGCCTTTGTGACTGTCCGGTCCGGTCGGCCGGACACCGCCGGTCCCGTGCGGAAAAAAGGGCCGGACAAATTTTTTTTTTACCTCTGAGCTTGTGGACATGTTGCGGAGACAAAAAATGAAAAGGGCAAAATCGTCCAAGGGGGGCGGTGACTAGTAATAAGGGGGGCGGTAAATAGTAGTGCCCTTGTATAATTCAAGTCCACAAACTCAACATTCTCTTTTGCCGGGTAATAGTGAGTTTTTTTTTTTTTTTTCCAAAACGATTAATAAATTAAAAAACTCAAACCAAAGTCTTACAATCGATTGATCAAATGATCAATAAGGCCTAATAAAAGCCCTAGAGGGAAGTAAGAAATACCACCCTATCCTCAAAACAACAAGCTAAAGTACAGAAACAGAAGAAGTCACAACTAAACTAAATATACTAATCTCTAAGAACTTAATTTAGCCTGGATCAATAGAAAGAGATCCTGCGTCCATCTCTACTAAAGAAGAACCTTCAATACAGCCTTCCAAAGACCCTAAGGCACTGGCATTTGGACTCTCTTGCCCTACCTTCTTGGAAAATTGGTCTCTAAAATGTTGTTTTGAAGACAACTTGATCTTCACCGTCTGATTTGTTCCTTCTTTAATGTTTAATAGTTTCTGCCAATCAGACAAAGTCTTCTCCACAATTTCTTTTGCCTCTCTGAGGTTTCTGTTCCAAACCCATTCATTCCTGTTGTTCCAGATGTTCCAGATTAGAATTGCCGAGATGCTCATTCTTTCTGTTCTGAGGTGCTCCTCCTTGATCTTGCAAAGTTCCAACCACCATCTTTGAAAAGTTACATCCTCATGTTGAAAAATATTCCACTGCAACCCTGAAAGTTTCCAGCAGATTACTGCCCTGGGACAGTAAAATAAGATGTGCGCTACCGTTTCTCTAGCTTCTCCACACACTTCACATGTCATGTCAGTTACAATCCCTCGATGAGCCAGGTTATCCTTCGAGCCAAGATAGTTATGCCAGCATCTCCAAATAAAATTTTTAACTCTGCCTTTAATGGGAAGATGCCAGGAGATTTTCCACATACTCTGCAATGCCTTTGGGTATCCACTTGTTGAAGCTCCTGATTGATTGGAATTTAGATAGTTGAGGACTACTTTGTACACTTCTTTTACAGAGAAGCTCCCATTTTTACTCCAGTGCCATATTAAATGATCCCTTCCACCTTGAGGGTGTAAGGGAATGCTTAAAATAAACTGTGCATCCACCGGGTTAAAAATTTTGAGAATAAGCTCCCTATCCCAAGACATGGTGTTATGACAGATTAGATCTTTTACTCTACCCACCCTCTCTCTAACAGTGATTAATGGAACTCCAGGCTTAAAGGTAGAATTATTGGGAATCCATGGAGAATCCCATATTGAGACATCATGACCATTACCTATTCTATACCGAATCCCTAGTTCTAAGTATTTTCTAGCCCCCAACCAGCTCCTCCAGAGCCATGAATCACTCCCCTTAACCCTGACTTCACTCAGCTTTTGATTCTTAAAGTACCTGCCCTTCATCACCCTGCTCATTAACAGATTGGGCTTTGTGATTAGCCTCCAGAGTTGTTTGACTAAAAGGGCTTCATTAAATGCCTGTAGATCTTTAAAACCCATCCCTCCCCTGTCCTTATCCTGTACTAATGTCTCCCACCTAGCCCAGTGAATTCTATTTGCCCCATTTCCCTGCACTCCCCACCAAAAGTTAGAAATGTCTTTGCTCATGATTTTTAAAATCCCAACAGGCACTCTGAAACAAGAAAACACATATGTTGGTAATGCAGACAAGACTGACTTAATGAGGATTTCTTTTCCTGATTCACTCAGATAATTATTTTTCCAACTGTTTAATCTGTTTTTGATACTCTCACTCACAAAAGAAAACACTTCTTTTTTCTTTCTACCAATACCCAGGGGTAAACCTAGGTATTTAGTAGCTGTCACTCTAGAGATACCTGCAAACACTTGACAGATGCCAGCCATGGTTTCCTCAGATGTGTTCTTGGAGAAGAATATGGATGATTTAGCAATATTGACTTGTTGACCCGAGTCATTACCATAATCAGAGAGGATTTTAAGGATGAGATTAGCATGATGGATATTGGCTTTACAAAACAAAATGGTGTCATCAGCAAAAAATAAATGAGTAATGGAAGGAGCATATTTACTAATTTTGATACCATGGAAATTAGAGTGAGATTTGGCTTGAGACACTAAGTTAGAGAAGGCTTCAGACACAATAATAAAAAGATATGGAGACAGGGGATCACCCTGTCTCAAACCTCTAGAAGGTTTAAGATAGCCAAGACATTTACCATGAATATTGAAAGAGAAGGCTGAAGAGCATATACAAGCTAAGATCCAAGATATAAACTTGTCACAAAATCCCATATGATGCAAAATTCTAGCTACAAAATCCCACTCTACCCTATCAAAAGCTTTAGCCATGTCCAATTTAATAGCCATGAAACATTCTTTACCTTTTCTTTTACAGTTGAGGTAATGAATGCATTCATTTGCTATTATAACATTGTCAAGGATTTGACGACCAGGGACAAAGGCAGATTGAGATGGAGAAATGCAAACAGGCAAAACAGATTTTAATCTGGTAGCAATAATTTTAGAGATAAGTTTATAGATGACATTACAAAGACTAATAGGTCTAAATTCTGAAACAGAAGTTGGATTGAGTTTTTTAGGAATAAGAGAAATGATGGAGTGATTTAAGCCTTTTGGCATTCTACCAGAAGAGAAGAAGTTTTTTACCCCTTGTATGATGTGGATTTTTAAAGTGGGCCAAGAGGATTGAAAAAAAGCTGCAGTGAAACCATCCAGTCCTGGTGCACTATTAGGGTCCATGGCCATTAGAGCATCTTTGATTTCCTCCTCACTCACTTCTCTGGTCAAAGCTTCATTCATTTCTGCTGTAATTGATCTGGGGATTCCATCTAAACTGCACTTTTGCACTTGAGGGGCAGATGTTTTGAAGAGATTATCAAAATATGCTGTGATCTCCTCCAAAGTCTCTTGAGTGGATTCACATGTACTCCCATCAGCTTTAAGAAGACTGTCCAGTGAGTTGATTTTTCTTCTATTTTGCACACTTGCATGGAAGAAAGCAGAATTCATGTCTCCCTCTTTCAACCAGCTGATTCTTGCCTTTTGTGACCAGTATAGCTCCTCATTTTTATATGCCTGGTTGAGTTCTGATGTCAGTTTATGCCAAGCAGCCCAGTCTCTGTCTCCTCCTTTCATAGCAAGCTGACTTAGGCTCTCTTTGCATCTTTCAATTTCCTTCAGGGAGTTAGTTTTCTGAGAAGCTTTCCAACCAATCAATGTTTTTCTGACATTCTTTATTCTTTCTTTTAGACTGAACAGATCTTGCCTTGTCACTGAATCTTTCCATACATTTTCAAGTATCTCAGCAAAACCAGGCATATTAAACCATCTTTTATCATATGTGAACCTTTTCTGGCTGATTTCAAAGGTACCAAGAGTATTCAAGATAAGCATATTGTGGTCAGAAGATGATGCATGTATGTGCTTAACAAGGCCATTTGGATATTTTAAGTACCATGCAGGGGAGAGGAGAAACCTATCTAGCCTTTCTTCTATAAAATTCTTCCCTTGCTTTCTTCTATAAGGATGCCCCACAAATTTACTATCTATAACTCCTAGACCATTAACAAAGTTTCTGAAGTTAGAAAAGCTACTATCATCTCTTAGGGCCCCCCCTTGCTTTTCCTCATTAGAGAGGATGTCATTAAAATCACCACAGATGCACCAGATTTCACCCCAAGACAGACTATGCCTCAGAAGAACTTCCCATTGTAAGTTCCTATCTGAAGCATTAGAGCTAGCATAGACAAAGACAACCCAATGTTTAGCCCCATCTTCTTGAAAACAGAATTGGACTTGGACACAAAAATCAAAACTAATAATTTGCAAAATGATGATCCTAGAAGACCAAGATATCAAAATGCCCCCTCTGGAATTAACAGGATTAACATAAATCCATCTATTATCCAATTTAAGCTTTTTACAAACAGTAGAAACAAATTTAAACTTTTTTTTGGTTTCCAAAAGACAAGCAAAATCTGGGAGGTGAGCTCTTAGAGCCTCTTTGAATTGGGAAATTGTAGAGGGTCCCCCCAAACCTCTACAATTCCACACAAAAATTTTCATTTGTGTTGTTGGGACCATTTAAGGCTGGTTTCCTCCACCTGTTCCAAACAGAGATTAGTAGAAAGTTTTTGTTTTTTGTTATCAGATTGAGAAGATTGAAAATGAGAAGTATCTTCCATAAAGTCTACACCCCTTTTTTTCAATGAATTAAAAGGATCCACATTCATAGAGTTAGAAGTCATAGAATCTATGGCCATGACCACTGGTTCCAGACTCTTCCTCTGAATTGGTCTTTTACCCAGAAATTTTTTGTTTCTATGAGCAGGTAGAATATTTACCTCCACAAGGTTTGATTCTAGAGCTTGAGAAACCTCCATAGCTTTTGCATCTGTAGAGGTTTCATCAACTTGATTATTATGATCAGATCCTAAGACTCCATTATCCTCCCCCTCTATAATCCCAGGTTGCCCATTATCAGAACCGTTTTTATCCTTTTGAGAGGCGTTGCTCAAATTATCCTCACCATTAGCACTTTTGTTTTTACTCACTAAATCATTTCTACCCCTTTCAGACTCATTTCCAAAACTATCAGAGTCATAACTAGAAGAATTTTTAGGGTTATAAGGGGTAAAGTTAGTAGAAGCTCTAATCCAATCCCCATATTGGCCCATATTAAGCACATTCTTATGCATATCTTCTTGTTTTAAACAGCAGTTCTTATCTGAATGTCCAATTTTACCACAATAATAGCAAAAATCTTGAATATTCTCATACCTGAAATCAATCCAGTGGTTTTCTGCTCCCATTTTGATGAATGTGCCTCTTAGAATTGGTTCTGCTAACTTCAGTTCCACCAATACTTTGAGTATCTGACCATGAGTACTCCCTGAGCTTGGAAGTAGAACGTTAATCACTGATCCTATTTTCTTCCCGATTTTCCAACCCGTTTCCGCTGAGATCCAGTGTAGAGGTAGATTTAAAAATTGCACCCAGATCTTGACTTTTTCCTCTTCTTCTTTAAACTCCAAGTTCGACGGGTCCCAGTTTTTCAGGAGTAGATATTGCCCATCGAAGGCCCACGATTTGCCCCTCAAGATTTTTTCTTTGTCTTCTTCTGTTTGGAAGATGAATTGAAATTTATTGGCTCCAAGATTGCGGATGGAGAATGGCTTCTTTGTAATCCATATTCCAGTGAGAGTTGTTTTCAGACCATTGTAGTTCACCCTTTTTTCTCCATAACTTTTTCCGATGAGACTCAGCTTGCACTCTTGAGTTCCTTTGGCTATATCTACATCTAATAACTCAACTCCATCCACTTCCCTTTCTGATAACTTAATTTTGAGCAGTCGATCTGAGATTTCTTGTTCCATTAGATCAAATAAGGAGTAGACCCTAACGTGCACCTAGAGACGACAGAATGATTTGCCAAGTCTGAAAGAAGAGAAGGTATTGAAGGGAGGAGAAATTAGAAGCGATCAAGATTACAAGAAAACTAAGGGAGGTGAAACTAGATGCGAACAAGATTTCAAGAAGATGATTGAAGATGAGCGAGAGATTGAAGAGGAAACCCTAACTGGCGATCCAACCAAGTGGAACTGTAGCTCTAGAGAGAGAAAAAAATCTCATGAGAGAGAACTCAAAAGGATGGGGGTAATCCCCCTATATATTAATCCAGAACGCGCTGAGCCTACGTGGATGCTTCTGGTGCTTCGGAATCCTATGTGGCAAAATTACATGCTTTCGTTATTAGGCTTGGGTAAATTTTAATTTAATTCCAAACCAAAAATAATTAGGTTCGGATTACCATAAATATGTTGATTATTTATGGTCATGTTACATGTATTAATTGCATTTTAATATCATTCCTTATTATAACTATTGAATTGTATATATATTTTTAAAAGTTAATAACTTTTGTATTTTTTATCAGTTTTACATATGTAATATATCAAATTAATCTTCTTTTGATGAGCTTCGATTTAACATCCATATTGTATGTATAAAAAAAAATAATTTATATTTATCTTTATAACAATAATAAAATTATTTTTAATATTAATTAGAAAAATAAAATTATTTATCAATTAATATTTATATTTCAAGTAGTTATATGATATAAGTTATAAAAACTAATATAATATAACACATGTAAGTCATAAGTAACACATATCATTCTAAAGTATATAGTAATATATTTTTTTTTTGTAAAAAAGTAGTCTAAATTTAATATAGTTTTCTCATAAATTTAAAATTTAAGAAAATTTTTTTAACAAGAACCCGTGTAATACACGGGTGTTGTACTAGTAGTGAGTTAAAAAACAATGCACTGTGCACGGACCAGTCCGGTCAAACCCGGCTCAAATTTCAAGTGGGCTCGGTCCAGGGTCTTGTTTTTGTCGACACTCGCCCGACGGCCCGGGTTCGGGCCAGGTCCGACATGCGCAGTGGCAAAACCAGGATCCCGTTTCGGGAAGGGCCTAATTTGTCTTTAAAAAAAATTTTCACGACAAAACCAAACACAAACACAAAATAAATGCAAACTATTTATATTATCGTTCAAATAACATTATACAAAATAAAAATACAATCTAGCCCCTCCGGCCATCCCGCGGCGCACCACCCCCACTCCGGCATCGGAAGGGCGCTCAAAGGGCGCCCTTCCAGTTCCAGCAAAACCCCCCACCCCTAGTTCCATATTTTTTTTTTTGGAAGGGCTGGCGCCTCTCCGACGTTATATGTGGTTTCGCCCCTAGACATGCGAAAACACATTGTTTTTATATTGTCTTTTGCTTTTTGTATATTTGGTCTGGCTCAGACATGGGCGGGCCCGCCAGGCCATGGACCCGGAACGACCTAGGTCCATATCGGTTCAGTGTCCATGAAACCCAATCCGTCAGCTTGTCAAGGCCGGGTTGGATCCGTGTTTTGGCCATGTCTAAATGCACATTATCCATATATATATATATAAATGGTTTAGTTTAGCTTCTCATATCCACCAAGAGGCCATTTTATTTGTCCATACCAATAAATCCAACACCAAATCACAGAAGAAATAACATGTGAATAGAATCATAGATATATATCCACTGCCAATATTTTCTTCACAAAATTCGAAAGGAAGGCATGTGAAAAATAAACCTAAAAAACGCGTCACCGAAAATTTTCCAACTACTTTTGTGATATACATAATATTTAATTTAATTTTGTCCCCAACTCATCATGTGCTGGTTAATTACAAGTCCCAAACTCAAACAAATACATGTAACATGTTTTTAGTATTTAAATATAATATAAGTAAGAACCCTATAAATTTCTATTTTCACACTTTGACTTTCATTAAACCCATAACTATATTATGATTAATTTTTTTTTATAATTCAATTTAATTGATTTATGGTAGTTTAGGCATAATAACTAATATTGTTGCTCATGCAAATTCACGAAATATACTAAAATAAAATTGATGTCAAGCAATAAAGTATAAATCAAAACATAAAAAAAAAAATATTTTAAGTTATTTAATACTTCTTTATACTCATGGTTCTATTTGTTTGTAAAAAAATATTTATTGATCGAGCTTATAGTCACATATTAATATTTTTAATTTTATCATGTTCACAACCATAAAAAGCAAGATCAACACATTAATAAAGCCTAGCGAAAATGAAATATGAACAGTCCTATTACTTTAAATAATCTAAAAAAAAAAAACTTGTGTCATATATCGCTAATAAAAAACCAAACATATTTTATTGTTATTTTTCAATTTTAAAATTTAATGTCCATGTTTATAGTTTGAGACCATTTTAATTATTTATTGCTTATATGGTTATATATTTATTGACAATAAAAGTGAATTGAACGAATAGCTTACGTAATGCGCTACGGAATATAAGGACCAAAACGTGATGCATTGCGCGACGCGTGTTTTAAAATACTGCCATTTAGGCTCAGCGCATTCGAAAATTTTGTATCATATTTTAGTCATAAGAAGTATTATCGTTATCCGAATTTTCCCAACAAAAATTGATAAGGGAACTAACTTTAATATTAATGTGTAAGACTAATAAGATGAACGCAATATAATTGTGAGTTATACATCAATTTTTCCTCATCAAAACTTATTTACCGTATCAAAATTTACATAGAAACTGAAATTTGAAAATGCACATTAAAGAAGGTCACACGAATATCATATTTTCAATTTTGAAATGTTTTACAATGTGTTCTTTATTAGTAATGGAATTTAATTCATTTTGAAATAAAATATATGTTGATTGAATGATTAAAGAAAGTTAATATTAAATGTTAAATCTATATAGATGTAATTGCTAGCGAAATTCAGTAATTTTATTCAGCTAGCAATTAGTAATAATACGAGTTCATTTAATAAAAATAGGTGCTCATTTAATAAAAATATGTTCATCATTAATAAAAACATGTATCTTTCAGTTACACAATTTATTTTGACAGGTACCATTATGAATGGTACTCATTTCTGTAAAGCTTGTTTATATCCTGAAATATAAAATATTTTTGTTTTTATTTTGATACTATATAATTTTTGGTATTATATATATAAAGACATATTTCACAATAATTAAGAATGACCACAAATATCTTTATTTCCCACTGCAGTCATACAATAATATAAAAAAAGTATTTTTTTCGGATAATTGCAAAGATACAAATATATTGAAAAATCAAATCTCAGAGTCACGAGCCGAAGGGATTTAATAAAGAAGTGTTTAATAATTTTCGGATTCACTTTCTTAGATTAGTTTTTTTTTTCATTTATTAAGTTATGTTTTTTATTTTATTACATATTTTAATTACTTTATTTAATATTACATAGTTTTTTTCGTACAAACGCACGGGGTAAAACTAGTTGATAATTAATTTATACTGAGTATTCCTTATTGCAAAATATTGTTTTAAATTAATTATAGTCAAAATATGTTGTATCACACATATATTTATCGGAGATGATATAGTCTCGTTACGAAACAATTCCGTAGGGGTTCGTAAACGTTAGATCATTATGTAACCGTAGGAGATAATTGATTTAACGGTTATAAACTCCGACGGAATGATTTCGTACCGCAACATTTTCTTATATTTTGCAAATTATTCTTAAAATGTTTGTTGCCCAAAGAAATGTCGGCATAAGTAGTGCAAATTGAGTATGTGATAGAGAAGAGAAGTAGACGTTTTAATACCTTTTAAATTGTATTTTTTGGTCAACCCACCCAAAAACCTTTGACAATTTTTGGTTTTTTATTATTATAGAATAGAAAAATAATAGACCCCTTTGTTTGTTTAGATTAGACGGTTGATGTGGTGATTACGTAGCGATTAGCGATGATAGCGGCAGAGTCAAGAGGCACGTGCTCACGTGTCCCTCATGTGAACACCTTAATTCATACTCAAGCAAACGACGCCGCCCAGCGTAGGCCCTACACGCTTCTCACCCACTCTCATACCGCCACGTGTCTCCCTTCCCCTATTCCTATCAAACTTTTGGGAGATGTTACCGTCCCGTTGCAGGACCATTCCGTCGGAATTATAATCGTTAAATCAACTATCTCCGACGGTTACTGAATGATCTAATTGTTACAGACCTGACGAAATGGTTACGTAACGGGACCGTAGCATTTTCCCAAACTTTGTAGGAGAAAATACCACCGCATTTTGATTTTTTGCAATAAAAGAAATTGATTTATAATTGACCAAAAAAAAGAAAAAAAAAAAGAAATTGATATATATATATATATATATATTTATAAATACGGCCGTCAGCACTGTATAAAAAAGCCGTATACCAATCCGATAGAGTAGAGATTCTCTGCATACGGAGCACCCAAACAAACACCCACCAATCGTATATCACAGCTAATAATATTAATTCTTTTTTCACTTTTTTTTTCCTTTTTTTTTCTGCTTATAAATATTCGCCGGCTCACATTTTTTTCCAAGAGTTCGAAAACCAAGAAAAACTTTTCACCCAAAAACTTTCAAATTCCCTCACATTTCTCTCTCCTCCAAAATGACGTGGACAAGGGGTCCCACAATCGGCCGGGGCTCCTCCGCCGTTGTGTCCCTAGCCACCGGCGCCGACGGCGACATCTTCGCCGTTAAGTCTGCCGATCTTTCATCTTCCGCCTTTCTGAGGAGGGAAGAAACTCTGATTTCCCACCTCTGCTCCCCTCACGTCGTCAAGTGCTTGGGCTCAGACACAACCCGCGAAAACGACAGACACATTTTCAATCTGTTCCTGGAGTATGTTCCCGGCGGCACGCTCTCCGATCAGATCAGAAAACGCGGCGGCGCGCTCGATGAAACCGCGATTCGCTCCTACGGCCGCCAAATCCTGCTGGGGCTGAGCTACCTCCACCAGCAGGGGATGGCCCACTGCGACATCAAGGGCCAGAACATCCTGGTCGGGGACGCCGGCCTGAAGATCGCCGACTTCGGGTGCGCGAGGTGGGCGGCCCACGGCGGTCCCGGCGCCTTCTCCGGCACGCCCGCGTACATGGCGCCGGAGGTCGCCCGTGGCGAGGAGCAGGGCCTCGCGGCGGACGTGTGGGCCTTCGGCTGCACGGTCGTCGAGATGGCCACCGGATCCGGGCCCTGGCCGGAGATGAAGGATCCGGCGGCGGCGCTATACAGGATCGCGTTCTCCGGAGACCTGCCGGAGACACCGGACGGATTGTCCGACGCGGCCGGCGACATGCTCGCTAGGTGTTTGACGAGGGACCCGAGAGAGAGGTGGACGGCGGCTCAGCTCCTGCAGCACCCGTTCTTTGATTCCGTTGAGGAGGAGGAGATTGAGTGTCGGGAAATTCAGGAGCTAATAAGAAAGTCTCCGACTAGTGTGATGGATCAAGGGATTTGGGACTCTCTGGAGGACTCCCAATTCTCTGAAACTCCGGCTGAAATCGAATTAAATTTGATTTCCCCGGCCGACCGGGTCCGGGCTTTGGTCGGAGGTCATTTTCCGGCAAGCTTGGCGTTTTCGGGCTGGGCAGATGGGGAAGATTGGATCACGGTCAGAGGCAACGAAGTTCAAAATTCTGAAGATTTATTCCAAAATTCTTCCGAAAATTCAATTCAAAACTCTGAAGATTTAGCAGTGGAAGAAGGTATTCAAATTCAGAGCTCTGTTTGGCTGGAAAATTTTACGACGGATTATTATTATTTTGAAGGAAATATTGCATTGTTTCCGGTTACACACACTGAGAGTGTGAATGAATGTTTTGCATCCAACGGAATTGTAATGTATGGAGATTATGATATCAATGGAATTGTTTCATCATCAATATTACACCTTTCTCTGTGTCTCTGTTTTACCATTTTTCTTTCATTTCTTATTTTTCTGCTCAATATTTTACTTATTTGTTTATTTATCAATTTGACCACGGCCGGGCCGGCCCGTGGTCCCGGTCCTGGCCGGCCCCGGCCGCACGCAACCAGCCCGTAGCTTGTCGGTTCCGAGAACCGTCACCGTGGCGTTACGGGTTGTTTCCGGAGCCAGTTTTTCTATTTTTGGTCTCGGCGGGCCGGGACATGGCCGGTTCTCGTGCCTGGCCCTTGGTTTTTGGCGGGCCGGTTAAGGGTAACCCAGGGGAAGCCCGACGGCCCATGGCCCGGCCCGTTGACTGGCCATCTCGACCCGGTATTTCTCGAACTTTGACTTTCTGACCAAAGTCGTGACGGTGGTCGAACAAACTGATTTGGTAAAGATATTCAAGTCACTATTCATTTGACCCTTCATAGTTCATTCATTCATTCATTACTGGACAGCACAATTTAGAGTGTAAACACATGAAACTGCATACAGCCTGTCGACTGCATTTAGTAATTTTAAAGACTTTACAGGGCATCTATGTAAATATGAGGCTTAAATTGTGCCATTAATTAATTAATTAATTACATGTTAGTTAATTATTAATTGCACTTTAACAATAATGCTATGGAGCCAATGGTTGGCTCCTTTATGGAGCCAACCACCAATCAAACATCTCCACATGGGGATGTCCCACATTAATTTAATGTGGGACATCCTCATGTGGAGATGTTTGATTGGTGATTGGCTCCATAAGGGAGCTAACCATTGGCTCCATAGCACTACTGTGCACTTTAAACCCAATGTTTTGAGGTTGTTACAAATTTAAAAAAACAAACGATGTAAAAGGTACCATAATTAAATAAAGTTCCTTGGTAATTAAGAATGTGTGATGAATAATATACATGCGTCAAATTCATGCTCAAAAGTTAAATAAATAAAGGGGAGATTCTACGGTCCCAGAATTTTGTCGGAAGTTTTCAACTGTTAGATTAACTATATTCGACGGTTAAATGATGAATACAAATTCAACCGAATAGTTCTGTAACGTTTCTCTAAATAAATATATAACCAATTAGGTGTACCTTTTTCACTGTACCAAACTTAAAAGGAAAATAAAAATAATTTAAATTAAGAAAAATTTGTTGCAAAATGAGGGTACGTAGGTAAATTTAAATGAGTAGGTTTCTTCTAGAAGGGGTTGCGTTAGGAACAAAGGCGCAGTTTGGGCATATAATCCTATTGGCTGATGAGTTCGGAGTTAGCTAAAATCAGAATAAAAAAAAAAAAAGTCAACTATTCTGAGTTGAGTTTTCTAATCAGTGTGAACGTACATGACCTTGAGCACGAAGGAGGGCTGAAAATTTGTTGGGGTCAACCCATTTATTCAAGAAATTAAATGGTAAAAAGAAGTTAGGTCAACGGTCCAAATTCCAATTGTTTCAATGGTTATCTGCTTGGGAAATGCTACGATGTCGTCAAGAAACCATTCCGTCGAGAATTTTAACCGTTAGATTATCACGTAATTGTCGAGAATAATTGATCTAACGTTTACAAATTCAAACAGAATGATTCCGTAACGGGACCGTAGTATATTTTTATGGGGCATTTGGAGTTTAGTAACCTTGGTTTGGCGCCACTAGGTTAAGCAAGCAAAAAGCCATAAGAGGACAAAATGTAGGCACATTCTGGTAATATGCTCATGCTCATTTTATATGGACATCAAAGTTTGGTCCTACCTGAAATACAATTCCTAATAAATAACTAAATAATCAAATGAGAAAAAAAAA